TTTTTGACAGTGGTGTGCGGAAGTACACCCATTTTAACATGTACTGCGCACGTTCGCTCGCTTCATGAGTTAAATGGTCCGCGACCGTTCAACTGCGTGGCAGATGAACTAAAAACGGAATTCGTGGTCACAAGGGAACGGTTGGCTAATATGATTTAGCAAAATGACAGAGCAGTCATCGAAAGTATCTGTTTACACAACAGAAAACATATCAAAATGCAAATTTCGTTTAGAGCACGAAATTGAAAATGAACAAAAATGGACATATGCTCGATTGGTGCGCGTTTGTCGTGATTAAGCCTGTCAACTGAGACAGCGATATATGATTGGATTCGATGATCAATAGATAACTTCGCCCAAGTTTTATGTCATTTTTCCTCCCCGCCGCTGAAATTGATTTAGTTTTTATAGGAACGGGTAGTTAATGACCGATGTCGATAGATATATCTGGATAAATGAAATATTTTCGCGATAACGAGATTACGGTGTACTTTTCAATTCTGTGTCGGCGAATAAATATGAAAAAGTAACAATTCCGTTTAACGATATATCCCTTCGAGGAGTTTTCACGTGAATTTAAACCGATATTCAAAATTTTCTATTTAGCGAGCTTTCAAATAACGAATGATAACCCAAATCTAAAATGTTTTTGATGCTTTTTTTCACGAAAATAATTTTTAAAATTCATAACGTGCTATGATGAAAGTATTAAATGTGTGAATTACAACGAAGTTGACGGTCAAAATCATGCTTGTTTAAATTTAAAGGGTTAAGCCTTGGCACATGTACGTGTGTTCACGCACGCGAGGGCATGGAACTGACAACTACGCGTAAAATAACATAGACACCCAAATAAGAAAAATAATGGATGTAATTGCGGAAACAAAGACGCCGCTCAGGCTTTAGCTGGAGAGAAGCAATTTCAAATGACTGAACACGTGTCCACATATCTCAGAACAACCTCTGAGATGACTAAGACAACATTTAATACAACGTAACAACGAACAATGTCAAAAGTCGAACGTTAAATTGATATAAACCCAAGTCGATATCACATGGTTGACGTGAATAAACAGTTGCGTACATGCGCCAACTAGATGAAGTTTATATGTCCAGGGCACTAGAATAAAACACGCGTTTAAATTAGCGTATTGCAGAAACGTTAGTGAGCGGTAAAAACAATGACAGACTTTCCAGGTTCTCATATAATTCCCTCAATTTATCAGTCCGTGTACTCTATCATGGAGGTTGCCAAACTAGAGCGCAGATGGCCTGATCAATATTAACCAATTGTACTTTTCCCTCGGGGTATTTCATATTAACGAGTAATCATACGACACGGAGCGAGAGTCTACTAGCGCGAAACGTGTATCACTGCACAGTCGTCGGGCTGTTAGCCATTCACCAATTATTGGCGCTGCTTGATGTTTACAATGTCACATACCGCTAAAAACCTAGAATAAACATCAAATTTGCAGTCAGGGTCGTCTTGTTTCTCGGTGCTTTCTTATATGTCTAGGGTAATGTCTCAGTTGGGAGCCACATATCGTTGATGAATGAATGTTGGTGCTTTCATCATTTTTTAGTCTAAAAGTTGTCACCAGGTTAATAAAAACGCACCCGAGATGAAAACCGCGAGCCGTTTCTCAAACAAATCATCTCAATTGCAATAAATATCGCCCTCCCTTCGAGCTACGATATCTATTGTTATCCCCGCTTTGTCGGAAATTCCTATAATTTTGTAAAAAGATTAATTTTCTTAGAAAGTTTAATAAAAGAATTTGATTTAGTGAATAGGGGGGTTTCAAATAACGCTTGAACACGTGACGAGGAAGTCACCGCGAGCGAACTTTAAAACTGAAGTCCTCGCGACGTGAACAAAGTGATGACGTCACAACGTGTATACGACAGAAAGCTGTGTATTTTTTTTCTGTAGAAACAATTACATGTTTATTTCCCTCGATATTAGCTATTACAACTTGTTATTTGTGAGTAAACATGGCATCAAAGCCTGGTGTTTAATGACTGGCGAAGCACTCCCTCTACTCCGAAAACTTCAAAAACGCACTTCGTGAATGGTGGTAAAAGATTATTTTAGTTTGTCATGTAGGAAAGTAGTCAATTTATAGTATATATGATATGGTGTATTCTGGTAGTGTTCAGCTTGTAGCTTTCACGTCTCACAGCTAACCGAGTTGCAGGTACTCAGCTAAACGCTGCCACCAGGAGACCGTCACCGTTGTCACACAGCGTATAACGCAATATTTTAATGCGATAATTCAAATGTCGGTGCAGTAATACCGACACAGATGCGGCGTTGGCATCAATTTGGGGTTGATGGCCAATACAATACAATCAACTTTGTTTTCGCAATTTTCAATCAAGGCAATTAAAAAAATATTGGTGATCCGACCGTAAAATGTTAAGCTCTCGGTAAAGCGTCAAATTCGGGTCTGTCGAAGTTAAGTAGCCTGTCGGCGAGACGTGATAATAGGCGAGTCTATTTGTATTTCGACGTGTTTCGGGGAAAAAAAAAAACATTTGAAAAACGATGCATGAACATTAGCGTGGATTGCGATTCGCTTAAATTGGACGTTAAAGTCGCGTCGTCCGTCACATATTTAACTACCATGATTAATCCTAACATAAAAAATAACGAATAAATGCTTCGTGTAGCTCTATTAATGTAGAGTTTTGCCAATTTTAACGAGAAACGAACAGTATTCTAGTTAAAGGGACGGTATGCCTCTCTCGAAAGTACTATGTTACGGAAAACCACTTGCGTGACTTGTTGATCGACATCCTGAAACTCACATACGGGACATTCAGTAGTGTCACAATGACGAACGGACATGGCCATGAATATATTTGTAAGTTTTCAATTGTCATCGAAATGTTAGGTTTGTAGTAACAAACAGGGTTCGCAGCAATTCTGATGCGTCCACACAATTATGAATTCAAAGTACGGTGTTTGTTTACGTTTGGTCTGCTTTTACGAGACGCGGTTAGTGTCGGAAATCATGATTTTCCTCTTGTTACTACAATTTGTTCACACCCACATTCGAGTTCGGAAACGGTTGTCAAAAAATTACGGAAAAAAATATCAAGAAGCAGATTGTGTGCGTAACGGTGTGGGATTCACCGATTTGAGCAAACGACTGAACATGAACATTTATAGATTGTCGGTGTTTTCCCCCAAATGCGTTGTTCTTTGAACGGAAGAGCAGTTTTCAATCCACTGCTCAATTATCACATGTATTTTGTTTATCTCAATCGTTCTGTGTCCAACAAGAGCATCATGGTTGGAGGATTTTTTATAACGATCTTGATAAAAAAAATGGACGTGGTAATAAAAAAATATCTTTTACAGTGCAACAGACCGTTAAAAATGGCGCGCTGTTCACAGTGTTAGAAAAGATCACTTTGGAAGTGAAACTGTAAAATAAATGCCAGATCACGTGAAAATCCATGATTATATCTTGAGCCCTCGCTGTGGATTTCTCACACTCCCCATGAACGCGTTCTATTTCCAGGTATATTCACAGCGACTATTGGATTACTTTGTTTCACAATTATGTAAATTAAGCTTTGAAATAAACACTTCCGCTCGTCGAGTGGCAGTCGCGCGTTAAGTCCAATTTTGAGTAAACATGTGAACGTAGCGCAGATACGGTTTGACAGATATGTCAATTTCTATGTTCGTGAGAGTGCGCTATTGTCAATAATTAGGACTAGACCAGAATTGCTGTATGCGTTTAGCAATTTTCACTAATTCCACGATTCTGACGCATAGAACGTGAGAAAATCGCAATTCTAGGAATCCGCACGAACCATTTTTTTTTATGACGGCATTTTGTTGGGAAACAGAGCCACGTGCAGATGTTTCCCTAAAAAGTAAGTTACAGACGCGAGGATTAGTAATGTTGAGTCGTCAACGTTGACCCGCCCACTATACTTAATAGATATTATGACTTCAAATCCCAAACCTACTGGAACTCACGTTGCACTCGGCATTTGCAAACACCATAACCCAATATAGAGTGATAGGTGCAGCACTGACACATGTGACTGCTACTAGTATGAAATAATCAACACACACGTTATTACATTTATAGAAGAAAAAAAAAACATATTTTACTTAAAACAAAAAAGAACTTGTAATTGCCAATTCATTTATGAAATAATTGCACAACAAATTATGGTTGAATACTAATCAGTATGTTTTCGATATCAGAAGAGCGATTCAAAATAGCAATCTTTGAATATACAACTCCTTTTTTTCGTCTTGAAAATTATTATTTTGAAATTGCGATTTAACAAAAAATAAGTCTCAATACAGATCGGTGTACATGTCCTTGTATGCAAATAGTTGTCGATATAATCAAGCGCAATAAACATGCCAGTTTTCAAATCACGTTAACTTTTATTTTATATTAAGATTTCGAGAGAATGCCAATGTCCCGGTAATGCAATAAAACTTTCATTCGATGAAACTAATTATTTCAGTTCAAACCAATTATCGCAAGCTCTCGCCACCCAAACAACTAGCAGCTCGCTTGCTGTTTAATTTGTGTTCTGCGTGGACCCTATGTCAAAATATAAACTCGGAATAAAAGAGTAGAAATTAAGTATTAGAAGATCCATGTCGAACATCTGGCGAGAATTCTGCAGCACTAATCCAGCACTATTGGCCGTTTGACGGCTTTCAGTCAATCTTTCAATATCGTGGTCACGGCGAGTATTCAACGCAAACAAAGTCAAAACGTGCAGTTGTAGACATCGGATCGGACGCGGCGCTAACGCGTCGTCGTCGTCGTCGTCGACGGCACTTTTGTCGCCTTGGTTTAGAATCAATATTGCAAAGCGGTTGACCTAATATCTCTGCCAGTTCATGTCAATGTTTACATCACTTTTAATAATGATGTAATAGCACGGTTGTCTAAAGTGTATTTACCTCTCTTGTCCAGCGCTGCGACTCTTACACACAACCCGTCCGTCTCTCATGTACTGGGGTTACATGGCTTATCGCCGCATTGTTTGCATAGTGGGGGCGGCGACGTTGGTACTGTTGTTGGGGTGTTAGGCCCTTGGAACAACGACGATGCCGACTTGTCTGTCGGAGCGCGTGTATATGAATACGTTTCATACATTGCACTAGCGGGCACTGTCTGTGCTTGGTTCAAGTAAGTTACCATACGTCTCATTTCTTCCAACGCACTTGCCTGCATTAGAATGTAGTTTTTAGCCAACAATAAAGTAGCAATTTTAGACAATTTTCGGACGGACGGACTGTGAGCGTACGGTATAACTGATCGGAGTTCGTCTAATGCATCGTTCAAATCGTGCATGCGTCGACGTTCGCGGGCGTTGATACTAAGTCGGACCTGTCGTTGCACTTTTTGTTTTTTTGGATTGGCACTTTTAAGGTTATCGCTTATGTCCCTGTCGTTATCACTGTTATCCGGCTGGCTAGACGAGGCACATTCTGTATCTCTGCACCCCTCCTTCTGGGAGTCATGTTCCGCGTAATCGTCGCTTGTCTCTCGGTCCGAGTACTTCCTACCAACACTGCCGGGCGACACAATCTCTGTCCGATGTTCTCCGTCAACAACGATGATCTCATCGTCACCGCTCGTAGAATTATTGAAGAATCTTCCTCGTACGAATTCAATTCTTTCACTCGCCATTGTGATATCCGGGATCCGCTCCACCGAAGCACCACTCTCAGCAATGGAGCCAAGTTGCTTATACTCGTGAACGGGACGAATAGAAGACGACTGGTAGCCCAACTGGCTTTTACACACTTAGCGTTTTAAAACTGAATATAAACACACACTAGACCGTTCTCTGTGTATAGCTTGGGGGACCGTGACTGTCACGTGCCGGAAAATGAACCAATCAGCCATCGTAATTGATTAATGAGATTAGGGAGTAACGTACACGCGTCCATTTCATTGGTCCGCTTTTATTCCTCGTCGCTTCCTAAAAAAATTATTACAACATTTGCAATAGCGACCTTGGCGGGATGATTAACAGTTACTAATGTGATCTTATTTTCAGAAAGAAATTTACATATCCCGATCGTACGCCGCCTGTCTAATTAACAATATTGCTGAAACAGGAAATACTCACCTTTTTTCCCTTAAGCTGATTGATTTCATGTCCAAAACGCATGCCCGTTTAAGCTTGTTAGAAAAACATGTTATTTTTATTTCATTTTATCTTCGAGTTCTCGCATAATTTCGCTTGAGTCGGTGTCTAACCGTCAGATCTGTAAACGTATGCGTGTGTTTTTTGAGCATCTTCGTCTGGCCGTGGAGCTCCCTGCTCCAATCGTTTGTATTTAATTGATTTGTGAGCGAGAGCAACAGCTATTGCAGTTGGAAGTTTTGTTGGGTGTTACAAAATTGTTCTCTAGGCTGGCATCTGGCACGGGTTTTGAGTCATACTTTTATTGCTGTTAAAGGTGGATTTGATGTGCACACAGGAATACAGAATCCGCGTTGTGTTGTGCTTTTATAAAAGTACTAGAGATCATATACACCCAAAGCCCATCGATAACCTACCACTGCGGGAAACTCAGAGCCCGGACACTCACGAACGTGATATTATAACATCCGGCACTTGAATATGAGACTACTCTAGTCTAAGTCGTAAAATAATAAAATCATATCAAATTGGCCGACCGACGGTTCACTTTAAAGCGGGCGAGGAAAAATGTGTTTAATTCAGTGCAGAAAAGGATTACCCTTTCGAAAACACTGCGTTAGAATCTCCTTCGTGAAAAGTTGCAACATTCATAGTACAATGTATGCTAGACACTCTACACACCGGCCTGATATTTGTACAAGACACCTTTATCCTTCAGTTACCCAATTGCTCACGCGACGGTACTGACAGCACTAGGTATCCCATGGTTCCTTTCGTCATTTGCATATACCCATCCCATATGGCTGCTTATTACATGAATTACCCTGTGGATGTGTTCGCGAAGTGATCGCGATCCTAGTACGCTTAATTTCGTTTTCGGGAAATTTGTTCTCAGGGAATATAAAATACAACAAAAAAACATAATTTGTGTATTATACATTGTTTCGTGTTTTAATCGGCATCTATCAACGAACTGTATTTTCCGTTCAGTAATAGTATGAGATCTACTTTACTATACAACAAGGCATACCGTTTTAGTCGGTGAATTTCAATAGAAGCCAATCTGTCTCTCTCTCGCTCGCTCGGGTCCGATGCTCAGCTGTCAACCAGCGAACGCCGCCGCCGCCGGTGGAGCGATTCACCGGGTCTCTAAGCAGCGAGGGAGGCGCGCCGGCGGCCGGCTTTGCGAAAGACCAGCGTTCAAGACAATCAAAAAGCATATAACCATCGGGCGAAATATACGACCCAATGACGGGTGTCCATGCACTGACAACATGCCCCACTTATCGCTCCACTTATAATGTAATGAGTGTCAATGTTTGCTGATTATACAGAGTGAACAGGCGAAATTGTAAGCTGGCCACTCGACTGAGTTATTAAAATCTTGTGCCGAACAGGGCACTCGTGAGTTGTGTTTCTGATACTTGTTTCAAGCTGCGCACCAGTAACAATCACCCGGGCGTATGTTTTCGGGTTGGTCATTTCCTCCAATTTGGAGTACACTATCCCGGCTTCAAGTTGGTGCCAGACACAGACAATAACACAATACTCAATCTCGCTGTATAAAAACAAAGATGAGAATTTATTAAAAGTGAAAAATTCACTAATATTCGAAGCCAAGATTTTGGCGGTAATTTTATAATGTGACGAAAAGGTTAACTATAGTCTGACAGATGTCGGGACGATAGTGCTACAATAACAGTAACAATAGAGCGACTGTTGATCGAATTAGGAGGATGAAACACATACATATATATAGATGCAAATCAAACATAGTGAACTCCATCCTCGTTGGTCCCAATGGAATCCTCGCCAGTTGAAATCCATTTGCGATCATGAAAACGACAAGCCATTTAGAATCGATAAAAAAACGGTCGATTGTTGTTTTAAGCACGGCACTATCGCTTGGAGTTTCGCTGATTGACATTTCATTATTTTCGCTACAAGACAGCATCGTACGATTCGTCCAAAATATTTTTATAAATAATTTTAGAGGAAGCAAAAAATAATATATTCAGTACACAGACATGATGCCGAAGAGGGGAGCATAGACTTTGGCATTTATGAAAACATTTACTGACAAGCTAAAACAGCACTAATCAGGGTATTCGTAGCTGTATCAGGGCGGTTACAGAATCGTCCTTCTACAGAGCACATACATGTACAGTATTAAAGCCCATGTACGGGCTTGTGGGTGGCGCGCGTCATTTGGGTACGTCACAACTCGTAGGCTTGTGACGACAGACGCGCAAACATAATCCACGAAGCGACGACAACCTTTCGGGGCTACGAGATCAAGCGTTAACCTTCCAAGTCGTGCTGTGATACAGATATTTTAGCGAGTATAACTCGACTAGCTACGAACTAGGCCGGTAACCCGACTAGCTGTGAACTACTGTAGATCAGTATAACCCGACTAGTTCTGAACTAGACCGCCGGTAAAACCCGACCTGCTACGAACTAGGTGTAACACGACTAGACCGACTTAGCCCGATATAACCCGACTAGCTACGAACTAGACCGGTATAACACGACTAGCTACGAACTAGACCGGTAAAACCCGACCTGCTACGAACTAGGTGTAACACGACTAGACCGACTTAGCCCGATATAACCCGACTAGCTACGAACTAGACTGGCGTAACACGACTAGACCGACTTAGACCGGTATAACCCGACTGAATATGAACTAGACCGGTATAACCCGACTAGCTGCGAACTAGAATGGTGTAACACGACTTGACCTACTTAGACTGGTATAACCCGACTATCCACGAACTAGACCGGTATAACCCGACTAGCTACGAACTAAACTGGTGGAACACCACTAAACCGATTTAGACCAGTATAACCCGACTAGATACGAGCTAGACCGGTATAACCCGACTAGCTACGAATTAGACTGGTGTAACACAACTATACCGACATAGACCGGTGTATCACGACTATATACGAACTAGACCGGTATAACCCGATTTGCTGCTAACGAGACCGGTATAACACGACTAGCTACGAACTAGACCGGTATAACCCGACTAGCTACGAACTACACCGGTATAACCCAACTAGCTACGAATTAGACCGACAAACATGGTGGGTTTGGTGACGTACTTGGACAGAAATACTACGTGACACTGATCCACATTCATTTATACCAATTGACTTCAATTAAATTCAAGGTGGCCGATAAGGATAATTGTCAACAATTAAGTCATTATAAGTCAATTTTCGCTATCAGTTTAAACACGACGCCGCGTCACCAGATGGTCGCCCATAAGCAGAATTGGTCACGAGACCTCCCATTATATTGAACTTGGACATTTATTTTGTATATGACAATTAAAAAAAGTGTTTTAAAGTGGTAGATGTATTTCATTCGTGTCTTTGGTATATCACATACACTATGTTTTGAGAGCGAAACCTTCTTGTATGGTAGTTATTTCCGGTCTCCGATTAATCGAACGCATGTATTTTCCGGTGCCTTTGGATGAATGATGAAATGCACAAGTGTAGTTTCGTCACATTGGACATTTTGTTATATTACACGGGGTCTGCGCTGAGTACGCACAACAAAGTGTGCACATATATAGTATCTCATTATTTTCTAGTGAATAGCGCTTTCTTGTTTATGAACTCACTGCTTATGAAATTACTGAATTATAAAGAATGTACAATACAAAACACACATTATTTATATTGTTTTGTTTATGTTGAAAATACTGGATGCCACAATGAGGCGACAGTCACCCTCGATCGTCAAACTTGCCTATTGACCACGTGACCATTTT